CCTGCATCCTTCAAGTCCTTGATGGTGGCAGTAATCTCTGCAGTCCCTCCAGGAATGCAGTATTGCTTTTGGTTTACTGTTTTGCTGGATAGGGGCAGTTCTAATGGCTTCCACTTGGCTTTTCCTACCTTAATAGCCCATACTCCATTTGTCAGGGATCCAGTGTGGAGGTTCTACCAGTTGCTGAGTATATCTAGTCCAATTATGCATTCTGGAACTGGAGAAATCACTACAGGATGGGTTCGGGGATCCATTGGACCTACTATGAGATGGACATGAGCTAAGACTCCATTAATAACCTGACCCCCATATGCTCCCACTCTTGACTGGTGGGCCACAGTGACGTTCTAGGTCTCCTGGAATTAGTGTCAGTTCAGAGCCAGTATCCAGTAATCCCTGAAAAGTCTAATTATTTCCTTTTTCCCAGTGAACAGTCACTCTAGTAAAAGGCCGTAGATCCCTTTGGGGAATGCTGGGAGAAAGATTAACAGTATAAATTTTTGGCATTCAAGGGGTTGAGGGTCTTTAAACTCGCTCAAGTCTGGGGATTGATGGAGGAGCCATGTCTCTATTCCGGCAGTTCCAGTTAGAGTGCTTGCTGTTCACTTGACCTAGAATTCTTCTGCTTGTACACATCAAGTAAATATTTAGTAGATTTCCCATCTGTTTCACTTCTAGGGACACCATGACTAAGTAGCCAATGCCGAAAGAAGCCCATATGAGTTAGACTCTTCTGGTTACTGCTTTGACTTCTCTGTCCATTGCAGTAACCACGCCTCCCTTGTCTTTGTCGATTGAGTGCTGCAGCTTGGCCCCTTCCACCACAAGGTCGAAGCAGCCCCATTGTAGTTAGGTGTGATAATTCAGTTAGGGCAGTTCCTGCTATCAAATCTGACTTACAGAAAATAGCAATCACAGCAGTCTTTAAGGATGCTGGGACTCCCTTCACAAATTTGTTCCTCAGAGTTGTGGTAAAAGGTGTGTTCTGTGGGTACTCCATGTGTGGGTCTGTGGGTTTAACATGATAAATCCACCTAGCATGCCAGTTTTCCTAAGCCTTTGGATGCCTGCTTCTACAGTATACCAAGGCAGGTCTAGTACTTCAGCTTGATTTAGGGTAGGCCACCACGTAATCCATGCTTCAGCAGCTCAACCAAATAAACTATTAGATTCTTTCCTAACGTTTCAAGCTGAAACATTGAATGAAGAATCTGCGCTTAGTGGGCCCATATCAATAAACTCAGACTGATCCATTTTTCTGTTCCTTGCATCATTATCCCACACCCTTAATAGCCATTGCCACACATATTCCCCAGGGTTCTGTTTGTTCATATTAGAAAAGTCAAGCAGTTCTTTTGGAGTGTAGCATACCTCCTCCTGGGTCACACATTGTACTTCACCGTTTGGGGTGCAATGGGAATTAAGTCTGCTTATAGATCTAGAAGCCAAAATTGGTGGTGAAGAAATGTTTTGAGAGCTTTCAGCAGTGTCTTGTAAAGCATCTGCCTCAGGCAGTGCCCCAGGCAATGACTCAGACAAAGGCTCTTTAGACACAGCTGAATTAATCTCATTAGAGGGGGGTGGATACAATAATGATTTTACTGGGGAGGGTGGTTTAGCAGAGAAACACGGAGTAATCTCTTCAGATGGGAGAGGGCTGCTTCCCTTCTCAGGAGCGATTCAGCAGAATTTAGGGGCTCAGCGTCTCCAGCTTTCTGATTATCTGCCCATACGTCCCCATCCCAAATTTCAGGATTACATTTCTTCCCAATCAGTGCCCTCACTTTAACTTTAGACACCTTTAAAGGTTGGCAATTGAGTTGGTGTTGTAATTCAGCCACTCTTAAAGTAAGTCTCTGGGTTTGGTTTTCAGCGATAGCAGCTCTGTTACTACAAGAAATAAGGCTTTCTTTCAAGGCACAAGTGGAAACTTTGAGATCATTTATGTGGTGTTTGAGCTTTGACTCTGAAGCCCTGAGCTCATCTCTTTCTTTCACCACTTTGTCTAGCAAAAGTAGGACCAACCAACCAGCTTCCTTATACTTCCCATTATGACAAAATTGTAGAAAGGTATCAAACATGTGATCACTCACAGCCTTGCCTTTCACCAATCTTGATCTGTTGGTGGTGATATTTTACGTATTTCTGTTGCCACCTCACGCCATGGATTAGCAGTGCCCTCTTTACTATTGGAAGCAGAATCACCAACCTCTCTCAGACTAACCAGACTCGAGAACCAATTTAGAAAACTCATATGTTTACAATTTTGTTTCTCTATACCACTCTTGGTACCAAATGTCTTAGGCTGGGTTCTCTAGAGAAGCAAAACCAGTAAAGCATATATATATAGAGAGAGAGAGAGAGACTTATATAAGGGAAATGGCTCACACAGCTATAGAGGCTGGAATGTCCCAAATCTTTGGGCCCGGCTGGAGACCTCTCCTGATTCACATAGCCATGGGAGTTGACCAACTCAAGATCGGCAGATCAGACAGCAGGGCTCTTGCTCACACGTTACAAAGACTGATGAATTCCAAGATGGGCAGGCAAGACAGCAGGTAAGTTGCTAGCTCAAGTTCCAAGAACTGGAGGTCAGATGAACAGGAGCCAGCTGCAGAAACCAGAGCAAGCAAAAGTTTGCAAGCCTTGCCAGAAAGTACAGTTATATTCAAGGCAGGCCACACCCCCAAGGAAACTCCCTTTCAACTGACTGGCTACTCACAGCAGTTCCCATCATGGTGGTCATCACAGTATATCAAATGTCATCATGGAAGTGATCACATCATACAACCACCAAACTACATCATAACTGCCAAACCACTGAGAATCATGGCCCAGCCACACAACCTTAATGATCATACCACCCCACAGCAAATTTGAGCTGCAGGGCCTGAGGCTGCATAGGAGCTGGGAAGCCAGAATAGCCAGTGCCCGGAGTCCATGGCCATTGTCAGCCTGCATGGCAGCTAGACTCCACGCCCCCACTGGCAGGAGGGAGCAAAGGGTATGGGGCAGCATGGCCCAGCTTCCTGTAGTCTGCCCGAAAACCCTCCTCCAGGGCGGGGGTGCTCTGCAGCCATTGCCTCATTAATGTGCAAAATAGTCAGATAGTCTTTTTTTTTTTTTTTTTTTTTTACTGTTGTCATCAGTGGGAGATGTAGGATAACGAGATAGTCGATAAGTGAGTAGTGTGTGTGTGTGTAAGTTTTTTTTTTTTTTGCTATATTGCTGTGAGAAACAGCTTGTTTTGTGCTACAAGTTAACATTCACTTTGAGCTATCATAAATGTAATTGCTTGAGAAAATAGTATGCATATTGCTGGTAAATTGGAGAAAAGGTTGAAGAGTATTCTTTACATAAATATAGTAAGTACAGTGGAAAACTCTCTGTGAAAATAATGTATTTAAGTTTCTAGGGGATTAGAAGATATTGATATTCGGGGTAATGGGGTAATGATATTTTCAAGGAACCCTGTTTGAGTTCATTAAAATGAATATTAAAAATGTCAAAGACCATGTTATATCTAGAGTACATGAGGTTACAAAGTCCAAAAAAGGCAAAAACTTGTAACCTCCCTGTTTTTTCTGAGGTGTTCTCCATGACTGACAAAGTAAGAGTTTCTTTTAACTTACTGGGCATTGTTCATTGTTTGAGTGTTTATACTTCTATCACCCTGGACAACAGCAGTCGTATATTTAGCATGGTGACTGGGATTTAGTAGTTGCTCAATAAACACTTGTTAAATGAGCACTCCAGTGATCTGTAACAGAACCCATCTTCTAGTAAATGAAGTGATTAGTTTTGAGGGTCTCTTCTGGTTAATTGATACGATTTCTGTCTACACCTGGTTAGGTGCATGTGAAGATGGAGCGCAGTCTGTGTTTATGCGTGCTTGTGCACACATGCATGTATTGCCAAAGACCGAATTTTTCTGTGTTGATTTTTTTTGATAGATTGGCATAGGAAGTGCAAAAATATCACTAATATAAACCCAAGACACATGATACAGCGTTAAGCCAATTTGGATTATTGAGTGGATGTTACTGTCCTGTAGCCATGGTGTTAGATGTTTCTAATAATGACTGCGTAGACAGCTGAACCAATCGAGGGATTTCAGGAAGCTGAAGACCAGTTCAATTATGGATCTGCTCTAGCCCTGGACATAGATCCAAGAATTTGGTTTCTTAAACTGGCCAAGTATGAGATTTGCTATTAAGTGTGTAAAGTAAAAGAAAAAAGTCTGCCCAGTTTTCTTCCTTAACTGAAAGCCTAGTTTTGCTTCTCTCTGAACTGTAGTATTTTTGTAACTTGAGAAAAACCATTTGCCTAGCACAGCTGTTAACTTCCTACAACTGGAATGCTTTCCATTCCCTTTAAAATAAGCAGTCGTGAAAGCAGAATGTAGACCACATGCATCATCCAAACCAAAAAAGTTTACTGAGACTACTCCTGTCATCTGCCCTGGGGTCCAGAATCTTCACATTCCAGGCCGAGCTCCAGCTGTTCCCATTTAGTTACCCGGTTGGGATTGGCTGTACCGCCCACTCTTTTCTCCACCCCTTAACTGTCACTGGGAGAAAGCTCTTGAGCCAGAGATGAAATGTAAGTGCTGTCACCGGGCTGTCTGAGTGCAGCTGGCACCATGGGTGCGCTTCAGAGCAACTCCTGTTCGCTCTGAGCCCCCAGCCCTGCCTCCCCTTTCACCACGTTTCCTCTGGCAAGATTTGAAGTACAGCAACTCAAGAAGATTTCGCCTCCTAAACGACATTATTCTGAAGTGTATTGCCTCTTGATTGCTGGAAAAGAATCTTAAATTTATTTCAAAACTAATTCATGAGCAAATTTACTAAAAGTGGTGAAAGGAGCATTAAAGTTAATTAGTACTAATTTTTTACTGTGCCAAAGTGTGCGGTATCTTTCAGAGGAAACTCCAAGAGATCTGGTGAGTGTGCCATGCCGGTGGGAAGAATTGAATGTCCCTCATCTCCCTCTTTCCCTAGGGACAGTAGTCATGAGTGCCGAGTGTGCGGGGTCACAGAAGTGGGCCTCTCTGCGTATGCAAAGCACATTTCTGGCCAGTTGCACAAAGATAATGTGGACGCCCAGGAACGAGAAGATGATGGGGAAGGAGAAGAGGAGGAAGAAGATTATTTTGACAAGGAGCTCGTTCAGTTAATAAAACAAAGAAAAGAACAAAGTCGGTAAGTAATGATTTTGCTTTTTTTTTAAAAAAGGCCATCTGAAACAGAACATGGTACATTTTACATTTTCATATTTTTCATAGCGTTTAAGTTTACCTTAGTTATAAAGTTTAGCTTGAGATTACTATCTCTTGCATAAAAGGGCAGTGGAATGTGTTCTTGAGCTACTGTACCATACATGTTGCCATAGAGTCCATTCTGACTCATAGCAACCCTATGGGACAGAGTAGAACTGCCCGCATAGAGTTTCCAAGGCTGTGAATCTTGACAGAAGCAGACTACCACATCTTTCTCTTGCAGAGTGGCTGGTGGGTTCAAACTGTCAACCTTTCCGGTTAGCAGCTGAGCACTTAACCACTGTGCCACCAGGGCTCCTTTGAATTACTGTACTCTCTGTTTGAAAACAAAAAAACCCAAATTCTGTATTGTCCCTACATAAGCTAGCTATACCTACATATCTGAAATTTTCACCATATTAGTAATTAACTATGTTTAGAACTGTTTTTATTGGTTTATAGCAGTATCCAGATTTTCTAATTAAAAAAAAAATAAAACCAAGCCCGTTGCAGTCGATTCCAACCCATAGCAACCCCATAGGACAAAGTAAACTGCCCCACAGGGTTTCTAAGGAGCAGCTAGTGTATTCGAACTGCCGACCTTTTGGTTAGCAGCTAAGCTCTTAACTACTGTACCACCAGGGCTCCTAAATTTTTTAATGGAAAGTATTAATGTATAAGCGTCATTTGAATAAATGATATAGCATTTCTTCTTGCCAAAATCACATCTTATCCCTTAGGAAAAATTTTTTTGCCTAATATGAATTGACATGGTGCTTTTTGCCAAATTTGTTTTATCCCCTTATTATTGTCTTTGAATGCTCAATGACTACCACAGTGCTTGGTTCACTCTAAGTGCCTCTGTAAATATTTACTGAATAAATTTATATTTTAAGTTTGACAGTGTCAAGGTCATGTGAGCATTATAGTTTTCCAGCTTGTGATGTATAATTTCGTTCCTGCATCTATCCATTCAAGTTTGAGGCTTTTGTGTTTTTACCTTACTGATTTGTGGACTGAAGAGTTTAATTAATTAGCTCAATTAATGAGGTAGAACCAGTTACTGGGTGGGGGTAGTTTTTCAAGTCCTAGGGCATAATGAGAAAAAATTTCAAATTCTAAAATAAAATTATGAAGATACTTCTTGAATAGTAGTTATACCTGGTCTGCACCTCGTTTTTGATTAGAGGTTTGAATATAAAATAGAAGTATTTTTTATTCTACATATTAAAAGTTTTTTGAGCAAGTTCCTGAAGGAGACTTTTAAGTCAGTAGCATAGTTCTTGTTTTGTTCAGTTGCTTAGTCCTTCAGATGACATTCTCACTACTATCGGTATAGCTGTAGTGTGCCCCTCCTCCTGTTTTAGGGAATTGGAGTGTCTAGGAGACTAACTTCTATTTTTGTGCTTGTAACTAGTGTCATTATTAGTTTATCTGCGTGAACGATTAAACATGAAGTCAGATGGTAAAAGAGCTTCTCAGTAAATGAGACGTGCATATCATAGTTCCTCTCCCTTGACTGAGCTCCTGATATGCCTCCTTGGTGACCTATTTATGAGGCCATCTACTTACTCCTTCATGAGATTTTTAACTTAGATTGTTCTTTTTGGGCTGTGGGTTTAGCTGAAAGCTGTTGTCCGTTTGATCTAGCCAGTTCACAATGATCTAGGAATTCTACTTTGACTGACGTTGCCTAATTCTCCTCACATTTCTGGATCATGTTAGTATAGCTGAGACAGTGGCCCCCTTGGATGCCAAAAGGTGCTGTTACTTAGAAGCAGAAGTTTAAAGCAATAATTTTTGTCGTTTGTTTTTAATTGCCGTTGAGTCGATTCCAACTCACTATGACCCCATGTGTGCAGAGTGGAACTGCTATGTAGATTTTTTAAGGTTGTGACCTTTCAGAAGCCAATCACCAGGCCTGTCTTCTGAGGCTTCTCTGGGTGGGTTCGAACTGCCAACCTTTCGACTGGTAGTCGAGCACTTAACCATTTGTACTACCAGGGACTCTTACTGCAGTAATACAAAAAAACAAAAAACAAACCAAACCCAAACCCAAACCCACTGCTGTTGAGTCAGTTCCGACTCATAGCGACCCTAAAGGACAGAGTAGAACTGCCTTATAGGGTTTCTGAGGCTGTAAATCTTTACAGAAGCAGATTGCCACATCTTTCTCCCAAAGAGCGGTTGGTGGGTTCAAGCCATCGAACTTTTGGTAGCCAGCCAAGCGCTTTAACCACTGTGCCACCAAAGCAATAATAATTTTCTTAAAAACTCAAACCCGTTGCCATTGAGTCGATTCCAACTCATAGTGACCCTATAGGACAGAGTAGAACTGCCCCATAGGATTTCCAAGGAGC